ATGAGATATGTCTTGGATTTATATATAAGAGTCTTCCTTCAAATATTTATATAGAAGAGTCTTTTTTACTTAATAGATATATTTTTTGAGTTGAAAATATAGATTCATGACTTATAACTCTCTTCTGAAACCATAACATCCTCCCTTGACTGTGACATTCTTTCCTACTCGAATAAAGGTCCACTATCCTCAATGATCACTCCAACAATGGTCTACTAGCTTCCATGATTGGGATTGTGGCATACTCTCTTATTCTAGCAATGGCTCTTTTCTAAGACTATAACATCCCCCTCGATGTGAGATTTGCTCAGATTGTGACATTCTCCCTACTCCAACAAAGGCTCACTATCCTCATTGATTGGGATTGTGGCATCCTCCTCACTATAACAAAAGCCCACAAAGACATTGCTAGTATCTTAGAGCCTACTCTATACCAATTGTCACAATTTATACCAAATTTTTTGTTAAATTTTACTATTTTATCCTAACAAAGGAGTCCCTACACAGTTAATATGAGATTCATGTCTCTCTAATGAGATTGTCACATCTTGCAACAAAGGGTGAGACCATGACATCTTCCTCAATGTGAAGTGTGACACCCTGCAACACGAGGTAGGACCATGACATCTTTTTCAATGTTGATTTATAACTTTCACAAGGATTAGGACATCCTCCCTGACATGAAATTCAAGGTTCCCCATTGAGATCATAACACCTTATAATAAAGGATAAGGAAATATGTCATAGATTTTACATTGAAAAAAGATAGAATAACTCTTGAGCTTATATATAAAGTTTCTTTTACTTAATAAACATGTTTTTCGGATTGGATTGTAAATGCGGATAGCTAACAACTACACTTCGCTATTAGTAAATGAATGGTAAGTTGTGCAGATGAATAATTAATGTACAGTATAACTCTCTTTTACACTAAAAGGAATAATTTGTTATTATAAATAATTTTAACTGAATTTACACTAAAAGGAATCATTTGTTATTATAAATAATTTTAAATGAATGTACGTTGTGCTGGACAATCTTCTTCTTCTTCTTCCTATTTAATTGCCTCTTGCAAAGTGAAGGTTAATCATAATTAATTAAGCAGATGATGATGGTTTGGCTAGTTATATGCGTATTAGTATATGCAACCTAACTTTGTGATTTCACAAATATATCACTTTTTCTTGTCTCTGTTCGTTGATCAATGCACATAGCTGGTCCGGCCAGCCTCCACTATAGGAGTGTCTGCCTCTGATCAAACTCTGTATTCTCACTTTCTGGATCATTGCTCCGTTGTGTCAAATAAATTTCCTACCGTCTCTTCCCTTTCTTTAAGTTTTTCTGGGTAAATTTTTAAATTCTGATCACGCGTAATTGTCATTTTCTGGATCTCATCTATTTTAAAGTTTAGGGTGAAAGGATTTGAAATTCTCGTTGATATAACAAGAAGTAGTACTACTGTAAGTAAAACGCAAATTATTGTACTGTGTGAGTGTGACAACTGGCTTCCCATGACAGACGCGAGAGCCCAGACACATTGGCCTTGGTAAAAGGCCTACTGAAGAACGTTACAAAGAAAAAGATAAAAGCATTGAGACGGCTATGCCCGGACGTGTAAAACGCGTGAGGCCCTAGGATTTTTTATTCAACATGGACATGGCACAGTGGAACGATACGATCCAATATCCATGAACATGGGAGTGCTGCTTGGTTGGGTGGATTATTTTACTTCAGCAACACCTCCTTGATCAGTTTTTCCAAATTCAAGAATGATGAGCCATTCGGACTGGCGGCTTGCTCTGCTTTTTTCTTCCACTCCATGGCTTTGTTTCTCATCTCCTTACCTTTTGCTTCTTCCATCAATTCCCTCACGAGCTTCTCTACTTCATCTCTCTTCACATTGTTGTCGATTTCCATGCCAACGCCCCATTCAGTGCAAGCAAATCGACAATTTGTCTGTTGCTCTGCAAAAAATGGCCAAGAAATCATAGGCACCCCATATCCAACGCTTTCCACAGTTGAATTCCATCCGCTGTGTGTTAAGAAACCCGCAATTGCTGGGTGGTTGAGCACTTGCTCTTGTGGGCACCAACTTGCCATCAAACCTCTTTCCTTAGTTTCTTCAAGGAACTCTGGGGGCAGTATGGATGAATCACCCCTCACCAAATCAGGCCTAATGATCCACAAGAAAGAATGCTTGCTATTAGCCAGACCCCAAGCGAACTCAACGAGTTGCTGCGCTGTCATGACTGTGATACTGCCAAAATTCACATAGACCACGGATTTGGGTTTCTTGGAATTGAGCCATTGGAGGCACTCGGGCTCTTCTTTCCACAGATTGGAGCCGATTGATTCTAAAGGTGTCTGTGGAATCTGATTGAGAAGCAATTGAAGAGGTCCAATGGTGTAAATTCGAGGGAGCATGGAAGAGAGAGCTTTGACAACATCATGCTCAAATTCATCAAAAGTATTCACAATAACGGCAGAAGCTTTTGCAGCTCTCTCACTCTCTGCCGCCAGGAAGTTTAACATGATATCGTTCCGATCTGTTGTTCGGACAAAGCTTGGGAGGTCCCTTAAGCGGATATTTTTCATTCCTGGAATCCAATCAACAACAGTGTCCAAATACCCGTTGGTTAAATAGGTCTCATCTGCATAATGAAGGAAAAATTGTCAGCAACAAATCAAATCCACAAAACCATTCCAAGACCCAAGTAAGGTGAGATGTAGAAGTCTGCAATTTTAAAGTGTTTTGTTGTACGGACCTTTCAATGGTGTAAAACCTCTTTCAATAAGGCATGGATAATGCATGTAGCTCAAGAAACCACATGCACTGGTGGTCCAGAACAACACTTCGGGAATTCCAAGCTCTTCAGCAGCCTTGAGAGTGAAGGACATGACGCCATCTGAGACAATGCAAGTCACAGGTGGAACGCCAGAAGAGTTGAGTTTAGCAAGAAGGTGGCGAAAAGGGGCCAAGCAATTCTTGCTAGTGGAGTCACAGAGGGCGGGGATGTCTTGTGTTGCATCAATATCCGGCGGAGGCAGACCGTCGGGGATTGTCTCAAAGCGGAAATCAGGCACACCGTCCAGGGCATTGGGGCCTCTGGATTTGAGCAAGCGTTTATGGTTGTACTCAGTGTTGACAAACGTGATATGAAAGCCTTTGAAATGAAGTAGTTTCGCTACTTTAAGCATAGGATTTACATGACCCTGAGCTGGGTATGGTATACACACCGCATGAGGCTTGTTGCGAGCAGTAAGGGATCCCATCTCTCTCTCTCTGTCTCTTCCTCAGTGCCTTGTCCTCAAACAATGGCAGATTCCCACAGTTATATAGGAAATTTTACTATTGCATTAGATTTATTCTTGTGCAGATAATTAATAACTGTGAAGTACTGATTATAATCGATTAAGCGGATTCTTACATGTGGACGCCTAACCATTTATAATCATTTCAATTTCATAGATGAATAAATAAACCAGAGAAGTTGTCACCTTTGTCTTTTCCTTTTGCTGCCAAGAAATAAAGGACGATTAGGAAGAGATTTTTCCCAATATAATACAGCTCCACTTTCATCAGATCTGCGTAGTAAGCGGAGCTTCCTTGTTAAGCAAATCAAATTTTTTAATATTTTAAAATTCTGAGTTTAACTCATATACATGTGTGATCTCAAGGCTTTCTTTTCGAGTCGGCAGGCGGCGGCTGTGAGTTAGAGACAGTCAAAGTCTTCAAATGGTTCCAAAGCACAATTAATTAAATTATACTTATCTATGCGGGTATCATTTTCAATACACAATGTAAAATATTGTAAATATATATTTTCTAAATAATTAAGGTAATTAAACAAATCATATAGTTTAGCGCAACCAAAAAATCATAGTTTATTCGTATACATAATTTTTATGTATTGAAGCGTAATCGTTGGTTACAAATATTTCATCTGTCAGATATATTTTTATATCAGTTTTTACAGGACGTTCTAAGATTGCAATATGTGCAAAGCGGCATCGTTTTGGCGGGGAAGAAAAGAAAAAGGCAAAAGCAAAAGAAATTTTGTAAGTCCCAAAAGAGTGTTGGGAAGGCTTAAAACAATCACTAATATTTAAATAATAGTAAAATAAAAAGGAAAAAGTGAAAAAATGAGAGAAAAATATGAAAATAGAAAATAAAAAATTTGGGAAACACAAGTAACTCTGAAGTTAAGGATTATTAATTAATGTTAAAATAAGATAATACATGATTAAGTATTATTATTTTTTGAATAGACATCTTTGGATGTTAATACTTGTTCCACATATTATCGTATTCAGAAGTGTTAATATATTTTTTGCATAATCTTAAAAATGTTTCATAAACAGAAATTTATCATTTTTAATTAATTTAAATTTAAATTTATCAAGTTGAGCAATTAAATTTGTAGATATGTACATTGCTACTGTATAGCTAGGGGTGTGCAAATGTAAAGCAAATTGAAAAACCGAACCGAATTGAAGTGAATTCGATTTTTTCAATTCGATTAGTTTGGATTTTTGGATGATTCGGTTCGGTTTCGGTTAGGAATTTTTCTAACCAAACTAACCGAATTTAAATAAAGATAAAACAAGGTTTTCATATGAAAAATATATTATAAACTATTTGTTGTTATTTGTATTCATAATTTTTAATTATTTGTTATTTGTATAAGTATCTATCTTATTTATTCTAATTGTTTATCATCATTTTTAATATTTTTGTAGCATAGATTTATAAAAAAATGTAACATAAATAAATATAGATAAACAAAAAAAAAAGAGAAAATTTTCAAGTTTAGTTTTTAAAAAATGAACCGAACTAATCGAATTAACTCAGTTATTTGTAAAATTCGATTTGATTTTGATTATGTTTAAATATGAGTTTAATTAATTTTATTGTTAGATATTTAAAACGAACTAATTAAAAGAACCGTTTGTTCTACCCTATGTATAGCTGCTGCATTGCATCAATAGACTTTCAATGTTTCCTACTTCTGACAACAAAATGACAAAGAATTAGTGAATTACTGTGAATAATACCCTCCTTTTCACTTTCTCTCTGGAAGAACATAACTAGTAAATTTCCAAATCAATCCAGAAGCAGAATTTCAATGGTTGAAACTTCATACAATCATTGACACTCAAAAATTTACCATCCCCTGTTTCAACTGCCTAACAAGCTTATCCAAGTTAGTGTAAGAAGACCCTTCAGGGCCTGCAGCTACTTCAGCTTTCTTCTTCCAATCGATAGCCCTTTGCCTTAAACCTTGGCCTTTCGGCCCCTCCATCAACTCCCTCACAAGAGCTTCTACTTTCTCTCTTTCCACATCACTGTCAATTTCCATTCCAGTGCCCCACTTCGTACAAGAGTAGAGACAATTCATCTGCTGTTCTGCAAAAAATGGCCAACAGATTAATGGCACCCCTTCGCAAATGCTTTCCATTGTAGAATTCCACCCGCAATGAGTCAGAAAGCCTCCTACAGAAGGGTGGCTCAGCACTCTCTCTTGCGGGCACCACCCTATAAGCAGACCCCTATCGCTTATTGCTTCCATAAATTCCTTCGATAATATTTCTTCTCCACCATTGACAAGATCTGCCCTAATAACCCACAAGAATGGATACTCGCTGTCAGCAAGTCCCCAAGCAAACTCACGCAATTGTTCTGGCGTCACTGTTATCAAGCTCCCATAATTTACATATACAACGGACCTGGGTTTTCTCCCGTCTAACCAAGCTAAGCATTCGGTGTCTTCTTTCCACAAATTCGATCCAATGGAGTCCAAATTTGTTGGGCAAATTTGCCGATAAAGCATTGACAGTGGACCAATAGTGTAAAGCTTGGTGAACTTGGTTTTGATGGCATCCAAGACCTCCTGTTCCAAATCATCAAAAGTGTTCAGGATTACAGCTGCAGCTTTCTTGGCATTGTTCACTGATTGTACGTTGTAATTGAACATTATGTCATCGGGATTCGTGGTTCGGATAAAGGTGGGGATATCTTTTAATCGAACTCCTTTCATTGCCGGTATCCAATCAATGGCAGTATCAAGGTATCCATTATTCAAGTAACTCTCATCTGCAAATAATTAACATAAAGAAAATAAAGTTCTGAATTTAAAAAAAGATTATACGGGAAGAATTTCAATCAAGATTCAGAATATTCTTCTGTAAGTAACAGGCTAACAGCCTGATACTGGATACAAGATAGATTGGACAATAGTACCTTTCAGTGGGAAATATCCTCGTTCCTTAAGCTCTTCAAAGTGAAGGTAACCCATCATGCCGCAAGCACTGGGCGTAAACAAAACCATCTCCGGGATGCCAAATTCTTGAGCAATTTCCAAGGTGAAGCTCATGACTCCATCAGAAATTATGCAAGTAATAGGAGGGGCATCTGATGAAGTATTAAGTTTTATTATGAGCTCTCGGAATGAAAGCAACCCCTGAACTGGTACCGTTAAGCATAAGCCGGTAGGTCTTGTATTCCCCGCTGATTGGTTGGTGGCAAACCATCAGGTATTGTTTCAAATCGGAAATTGGCTGAGCCGCTGAGAGAGTCTAATCCTCTAGAGTTAAGCAAGCGTTGGTAGTTGAACTCTGTATGGATAAAAGTGATATGAAAGCCCTTGAAATGGAGGAGTTTGGCAAGTTTCAACATGGGGTTTATGTGGCCTTGCGCCGGTAGAGGAATACAGACAGCATGGTGCTGCTTTGCGGGTTCCATTTGCCCTTGAGCAAGTGAAGCAGGCCGAGGGTCTAACTTATTATAGGCCTAAGCTCCAATGCAAAAAGAAGGCATTTAAATAGATAAGGTTAAAGCAAACAAAAATAGATTTGTCATATGATTTTCTAGGGTTTGAATTCTCCTCCTCTTAATTTAATTTAATAAATAGTAGAGTATTATATATATATATCTAAGGTGATAACAGAGCCCCCACTTGCCACTTTTGACTCATCAACTCGGCACTTGTCGTGGTCTGTTAGCAAGGGGAAAATCAATTTTCCTATAGGATACCACTTTACTGTGTCTGCTCAACTCTTATTCGATAAGCCCAATAAAAATACCACTAGCAAATTGCCCAAAAACTTTAGCTGGAAGATATATAGAGTTTCTTTCTCTTGTATTTTTCTTTTTGATGTGAAAACGGACCTCTACTTATTATTCGTTGAAAATAACCACTATTGTCTGCATCATAGATAAGCGTTTTGCTGTTGATTTTACTTTGAACTGGTAATGTGAGCAGGATAATACGAGAGACATACGCATAAGATTTGATGAAAGAAAATGTATTCAATCAGATAGATTAAAATTAAAAATTAATTTTTTTTTTAATTTAGGATTCGATTTTTTTCACCATAGTGTTAAAGAAATAAGAATAAATGAATCAGCTTCAAAACTGCATCTGTTATTTAAAATGAAAAGCTACCCTAATCGTCTTGAGCAGTGCCCAAGCCTCTCCGACTAATGGAGTGTTTCAGGAGATAATCATAGTGTAATTCCATGTGTCACCAATCCTGCACTGTCCCTGCGTACTACACGAACTAGCTAACATAAGTTCACCTTGGCTTTCTTCCTTGCTAGATTGTAGTTAAGTGTTAAACAAAGCTATGTGCCTAGATTCGTTTTTTGAACCATTTGCGGAAGTTTTATTTATCCAATAGAAGCTGACAAGCCGCTATAAGAAGGAAATTTCTGTAAATTTCACTTTTGAGTTGGCATTCCCTTTTCGTCTGAGGAACCCATGCAGGGTGCTTGAAATAGCTCATTTTAGGTTTGGATTTCTTTTCGATTATTTACTGGCATTTGAAGAAAGAAAGAAAAGAAAAAGAGGCAAAGCAAAACTAAAGGAAGGTCTAAGAAAGGAAGCCATATGAAACAGGATGTACCTGATGATGGCTTGACAAAGTTCAGATTTTTTGTCTCCAGGACATTTTAGTTATCTATTTTTCCAATTTAGCCATTTATTTGTAGATGCACACACTGCTTTCTTTTCTCTTGTTTTTTTTTAACAAATGAATGATTTGTTGGAGTTTGGACTTTGGACGGGCTTTCCAGATAGTGAAACCACGAAGCACTGTCTTGGCCCAAGATATATGGGCAAGAAAAGACCAAGCCCATTAAAACATCCACTGATTCAAAAAAGCCTCAAGAAACCAACAAAACTTACTACTTCTCAAGATAAGGAAAGACAAAAGAATAGTATCATTCCCTGGCTTAAACGTTGTAGACATGTTACAAGAATTCTTCAAGTTTTTTTTTTTTTATGCTGAAAATTCTCATAGGGTTTAATTATTTTATAAAAATTTTATTATTAATTAAAATAAAAAGATACAATAAAAAAAATGACTTTAATCGTATCTCTAGAATTACATGAATAAAAAAAAAAGAAATAACGACTTAAAATTTTTAAACTCATAAACTTTGAATTTTTAAACCCCATCATGCTAACTCCAAATGCAAAAGAAGTAATCCATCTTCGAGAAAATAGAGACAAAACGCTTGTGACCAAACAATTGAGGGTCGAGAGAACAAAGAATAGATCCAATTACCCACGGAAAAGGATGAAAGAAACATCCTTTCAGCTCTAAACAAGTGTCAAGAAGATCTAAAATGGTGAGACAATCACCCATAAAGCTAATGTCAAAGGCAATTAAAAAATAAAGTAATTCTATTCAAGTATGAAAATTCAAACTTGTAGACGACGGATTCAATTCATTTACACCATTGCCAGAGTGCTCTAGACTACCAAAGCAATCTAAAGGAGAGAAGCATAGAAGTTTTCCTTTACAGGTGAACATTATTCCCACAAATATGACTTATCATTTCTTCTTATTTTACAATTGAAATCAAATTATTGAAATTCCATTTTGTGATTCTAGAATTAGAAATGACTAACTTTTTCCTTATCCATGCTGTGGTGGTCATGGTATGGTTGCTCCGCATATATATTTCTACTGAATAATGCATACTTAACCTTACGACATTGATTGGTGGCCGTGGTTCTGTTAATGGTCAAGTTGCAGGGTGAATTTGTAAACTTTGCCCATACCTTCCAAAAATTTTCTCTTTTCATTTTATGTTTGAAATGATTCTAAATCAAGTCACATGCAATCTTTATTTCCTGTTTGTTTTCCCCCTATACTCCATGTAGGTACACGATGAAATACACTAATTATAGATGCGAATTGACTTATGCTAAATTTGAAGGTAAAGAAATCACAAAATTCTCTGCTAAAGAGCGAGCAGGAATGAAACAAAATCAAAAGTTAACAATGTTTCTTGTCGCACATATAGATAAATAACAGGGAGTAGGTCGTTCCCCGATCAAGGAATGTTACAACATGTTCGATCGTAGATCCATCATTATCCTCTGTAATCAAGAACCATTTTAGCATGGGGCGCAGAGTTCATCTGATGCTGCACCAGCAGTGCACCATTTATGTTGCTAAGTAAACCATTTTTTAATAATTATAAGAGAATCAATCTCAAACAACATAGATCAACGAAAATAAACAAGAAATATAATGTATATAAATCCACATATAGGAACATTTCTCAAAGTACACCAATAAATAGGCAATTAGGCAACTGCCATTTGCACACCACAAATTAATAAAGCATCATGAAATGAAACAAAGACAAAGAAAGTAGCCTTTCTGTATAAAGGAACAAAGAACACGAGCGATCCATGCTCTCCCTCTCTCTCTTTCTCTCTCTCTGTCTATATATATATATATATATATATATATATCAGGTAACTTATACGGAAGCTTTCAAGGGCTAGTTTTCGAAGGTGGTGGGGAGAAGAATGGGATGGATGGAATCGTAGTTGGGATAGTGGGGATTGAGGGCATGCTAGGCAGTGGAGGCAGGCTGACCTGTGGGGCAGTAGGGAAGGTCGGGAGGGTGGGCATGCTAGGAATTGGAGGAAGGGTGCCGGGGTTGGGCAGAGATGGTTGTGTAGTTGGCAATGTGGGAATAGTTGGCTGAGGGAGATTTGGCAAAGATGGCAACGGTGGTAGCGCTGCTCCAGGCAAAGTCGGGATTGGAGGCAAAGGCGGCAACTGAAGAAGATGACGAGCCCCCAGACTAACATTGATGCTGGAAAATGACAAAGCCATGAAGAAAACGAGCATGAAGCTATTGAAAGGGGCCATTTTTTGAATATATTTTCTAACAATCAAGAGTGTGTTTTTTAGTAGAGGAGAGGAGTTATCTTAATCAAGGTTTGAGTGAGTAGAACAGGGCAGGTGTTCGATTTATATAACCTGAAACCAGGGACTTGACCTGTCAGGTTGTTTAATTTATGCTCCAGTTTGGTTGGGAAAATGTAGACATTCCTTTGGAGCTTCTTGTTGTAGGTCACCTTCTCAATACGTACTGCACTAAGGAATAGTCAAATATTGTGGTTGTGGTTGGCCAAATGTAGGATGGTCAAATGGTTTAGGGTGGTAAAAGTTTTGAGTTCTGATTGGTGGGTTAGCTAACTCCATGAGCCCAATCAAGATCAACAATTAGCTTTGCCGCGACAGCAAATTGGAAAATACATCTAGACCGGTGTATCCATTTTTCATCTTTGGTTGGTATGGATGCATGACTCGTACTTCAGGAAAAATCAAATGACCTTCGGCTGATAAACTATAGAAGAATTACTACTAAAGTTCCGACGTTAAAAACTGTATGGTTTTCACTCCTACAATTTACCTTTCGAAAAAAAGAAAAAAAAAAACCAGATATTACTAATACCAAGCTGCTGCAGGCAGACTGTTTTAGTAGGCTGTTCAAGAGCTGAAAATGTCGCAACTCTACTTCTGCTAGCTGGTTTTGCCTCTAAAATGGTGAGATGCAAGCAACTTTTAAATGAATAAAAGAAGTCAGTAACGATTGGTAATGTTAACCAGAAATATATGATATATATCTAGGAATCGTCTGTCCTCTCGTGCTATTCCGCCCATAAAATAGAAGTGGAAAATTTTTTTCATTGAGATCATGATTGATAAAATTGCCATGACCACACCACGGGGTGGTGGCGCAGTTGGCTAGCGCGTAGGTCTCATAGCTATTTGAGTTATCCTGAGGTCGAGAGTTCGAGCCTCTCTCACCCCATTGTAGGTTTTCTATCGTTATAATGTCATTTTTACATAAGATGCAAGTATTATAATGTAAAATAAAATTTATAGTAACACTATTTTCAAAAACTATCATTACGTTTTAATTTTTATATAAGATGTCATTTCTACACAAGATATAAGTATTATAGTATAAAATCAAATTCATAACAACATACTCTTTTCTAAGATTACCATTACGTTTTAATATCTACACAAAATGTTATCTCTATATAAGAGGCAAATATTATAGTGTACAATCAAATTCATAGAACATAATATTTCTTAGGACTACCATTATGTTTTTCTCTTTTTATAGTGTCATTTTCTAAAACTGCCTATGTAAGTATTATAGTGTAGAATCATATTCATAGTAACACAATACTTTCTAAGACTACCATTACATTTTTCTATGTTTATAGAGTTATTTTCTAAAACTACTCGTGTAGTGTCATTTCTACAAGAGGATGTAAGTGTACTTTCTAAGACTATCATTACGTTTTTCTTCAATGACATTTTCTAAGACTATCTATGTAGGTATTATAATGTAGAGTCAAATTCATAGTAACACAATACTTTTTAAGATTACCATTATGTTTTTCTATTTTCATAGTGTCATTTTCTAAGACTGCTTGTGTAGTGTCATTTCCAAATAAGATGGAAGTGTACTTTCGAAGACTATCATTATGTTTTTTTCATTTTTATAGTGTCATTTTCTAAGACTACATGTGTAATGTCATTTTTATACGGGATGTAGATATTATACACATCAAATTTATAATAACACAATACTTTCGAAGACTACCATTACTTATTTCTACACAAGATGTAAGTATTATACACATCAAATTCATAATAACATAATACTTTCTAAGACTACTATTGCGTTTTCCTATTTTTATAGTGTCACTTTCTAAGACTATTAGTCTTTCTACACCGGATGTAAGTATTTTTTTTTTTTAAAAGGTGAATTTATTGGCCTCATCAGCCACAAAATGCCATTGAAAGTCTGAAGCTGTAACTGCCAAGGACTCCCCATGGCATATCCAGAGTGGCTGGGGCAAAGAGCTGTACAAGTCAAAAGCTCTGTTGCACTAAGCGACATTGGTGTCTTACAATGACCAGCAACCGAACCAGAGACAAAAAGACAACTACTCTAAGAACAGCTGCGCTTGAAGATTTTGGCAGCCAACAAGAAGAAACTACCGGGACAAACAAAAAGGAGAAACCAGACCCCCCTGGAACCTCAACACCAAAAGATACAGAAGTACAACCCAAAAATGACAAGCAAAGTCCCCTGAATCAAGCAGAAGAACCAAAGCACAAAAAGAATCCTAACACCAAAAAGCATCGTCAGGAGAAGAACTCAGAATCCTTCGAAGAACATCTTCCCCTGCAAGCCTCCCATCAGCAGACGCACAAGACGACAATTGCCAGGCACTCAGCAGCAAGAAGGGAGACTCACCTTCAAAAGTCCACAGCACCGTCAAGATGAAAGTATTATACACATCAAATTCCTAGTAACACAATTGTCACTTTCTAAGACTACCACTCTCTAAGACTACCAGTCTTTCTACACTGGATGTAAGTATCATACACATCTTTCTACACAGGATGTAAAAATTATACACAAATATAAATTCATAGTAACACAATTGTCACTTTCTAAGACTACCAGTCTTTCTACACAGGATGTAACTATTAAACACAAATAAAAAAGAAAAATCATCCAAAAGAATACTTCAATCGCTGCAGCATAACTCATTATACAGAACCCACAGGCATTCCAGGGTTAAGGCTGATGCCAATATGCCCTCTATCTCCTACCATTAAGAGTCTTGGTCTTCTTCAGGTTGGCTAGTTCTTCAACAAGCTTCCTTTCTTTATCACCCAGCTGTCTTGGGATTTCAACCTTTACTCTTACTAATTGGTCCCCCCTCATGTTGCTTTTATTCAGCAAGGGCACACCTTTCTTTGCCATGACCAAAGTTGTTCCTGGCTGAATACCAGCAGGGATTTTAAGATCAGCCATTCCATCCACTGTTGGCACCTTCACTATTGTCCCCAAGATTGCATCAACATAAGAAATCTTGCATGTATAGAGAATGTTCACACCATCCCGTTTCAATACAGAGTCTGGAATCACTTTGATGACAACAAAAAGATCACCAGGCATGCCACCTCTCCTTCCTGCATTGCCTTCTGATCTGACTCTCAACCGACTACCAGAATCAACCCCAGCAGGGACCTTCAAGCTAATCCTCTTTGATTTTCTTACTCTTCCCTCACCGCCACATGTGTTACAAGGAGTTAATTTTTCCCCAGTCCCACTACAGGCAGAACATGTCATCACGTGCTGGAAGACGCCCAGTGGAGTCCTTGCCGATGAGACAACTTGCCCTTGCCCACCACATGCGGTACAGGTAGTTGTGTTGGTCCCTGGCTTTGCACCTGAGCCATCACAGGTGGTACAGCAGTCAAGCCTGGATACTTCAATCTCTTTTTCTACCCCAAAGATAGCTTCCTTGAAAGTCAAGGAAAGATTGAAAATTAGATCTTCGCCATCTGCAGCCATATTTCTGGCACCTCTATTTCCAATGTCCATGTCGAATAATGAGCTAAATAGATCGAATGGATTGGTAAAGTCCTATCAGAATAGAACAATAAAGATTTGACTGGGTAAGAACAGAGATGTGTTTAAAATAAAGAATGATGGAAATGAAAAACATCTAATCTCATAGCTTTATTCTTTTGATCGAATTCACTTACCCCCATGCCCATATTAGAACCTTTAAGAGCATCCTCCCCATACCTGTCATAAATAGAACGCTTTTCATCATCAGACAGGACCTGCACCACAGTATTTTTCATCTTTATTTTACAATATCTTAAACAAGTAATTGCCATGGTTATCAAAGCCCAATGCTCAACCAGGTATCAATAACTAAGAACCCAGGTTTGAAATCAGATATTACCTCGTAAGCTTCACTAATCTGCTTAAATTTCTGTTCAGCTCCTGGTTCCCTGAAGCCACAATATATATCACAGAATTAAGCAATCGCAAAAATTTTTCCAGAAAAATGTGTACTCATTTAAGTTATGTCATGTTAAGAATATTACAACGAGAGCTATCAATACAGACACAAAAGTGTATGCAAACAGAAAACAGAGGATAAAATAGTGAACAATGTGGATCTCAACTACATGTTTTTGCTCATGTGAGGGATCAGAAAGGCGACAAAAATGAAAAAAAGAGGTTGCAGATGATAAGAAATTCCAATACATCCCCTCAAACAGAAGTAAAGAAATAAGGCACAGACCACTGAAATAATATTTCAGATCAGGCAATGTTTATGTAATGATTGGACATGGCAGATATAATAAACCTACCAAATGATTGTACCAAATGTAAATAAATTAATTATAAATGCTGAGGGTGCATGTATCTAGACTCAAACAAAATATCACCAGACTCCCAGTCCCAGATTCAGCATTCACAAGCTTACAACTAATTATTTCAGCCATTTTATTGGAAACTGCTTCCATGGCATTGTGTTAATTTGGATAAGTTTGAACAGTTGCACTTAAACAACTACAATCTTACTAATTGCGATTATAATGCTCAATTTTCAATGGGCAGTTCTTGTTATCTAATCAGTGCCTTTGTGCAAACTTCACAAAGGGATGATAGCAACCGGTAAAGGCGTAAAGTACGTCAATATACTATTCAAGTACTCAAGTTAGCAAGTGACACACATGATAAACCAGCGATTCTGGTGAATTACTGTGGTTCAAGGTGGCAGCACACCAGTAGAGTCAAGGTGGCAAGTCAATCTTCAGACTCCAGGAGCGCTGATTGGCAGACACAATAGAACTAATATTATTGGTAGGATCCCAAGTCAATTCTATATATAAACTAAAATTGAAAGAGATATATTAGTTAGCTTTGTTGGTGTCAAGATGAATTCAGACTATTATTCTTATTGCCATAAAAATAATGTCTTTGCATGAATATTATATGATTATTAATTTTGATCTCATTGTAGCAATACATTAGCAAAAACAAAGGATAAAATGGATTTTTCT